ACTCTACCAACTGAGCTTATTCCTGGCCCTCTTGTGCTATTTTGAATTTATTTCCTTTTTTGCTTGGTTTCTGTTCTTGTGACTAAAAGGCTCAGAGGTCACTCCAGTAAAACTGGGCTGACTGGGGCTGCACAAAATAACCACAAAAGAGACATAAATATCTTTTTGTTTGGGGTTGCTGTGACAGCTCCTCTGACCTTAAGGGTCTGCAGGAAGAGAGAGAGCAAGAGCAAGCGCTGACCCCTTTTATTGAGGAGAAATTATTTAAATGAGGCAAGGGGTCAGGTTTCAGGGGGCTGAGTCAATCTTCATGATGTCCACTGTCAGCAGGTTGACAGACACCTGGGTAGGCCACACCCAAGGGCACAGTAAGAGAAGGGGATACACACAAGGGGACTTCCATGGAAGATTCTATCCTAAACAGGGCAAGGGGTTATATTACAAAGGAACAGGTGAGCATAGCTTCATCCATGGGGCTGTAGCAAGACATACCCATGCACGAGACAGGGACCCTTGGACTCAAGAAGGGTAGGGAAAGCTCTGCCACATTTCTGTGACTGAGTGCCTCAGCACCCAGCCGGGGAGTGTGACTCAGTCATGTGTAAGGTTGGTCTCCCACACTTTTTCTTTTTATGGTACTGGGTACCAAAGCCAGGGCATTGTCACATATGCTAGGCAAGTGCTACATCCCCAGTCCCCATTCTGAATATTTTTAATCTGTGATTGTTTGAATCCATGGATGCAAACCTGTGGATATAGGAGGGCTTACTCTATCGCAGTCAGAGTATGAGGGGTAAATGGGGAGCCAGTGATTGTGGCCAGTGTAGATCAGATGGTCAAGAAAGTTTTCATGGAGGAGGAGACAAGTGAACTTATGGGTAGGGAAGAAACTGCTCCAGGCAGAGAACAGTCACTGGAAAGGCACAGAAGGAGAACTGTGCTGGAATAGCATGAATCAAGAGGGAGGTGGTCATATGCAGACTTTGGATGTTAACTGCCTTTGTGATGGTTTAGAGTAGAGGAATGACACCCTGTGACTACAGCAGGAGTCAGTAGACTATTGATAGTAAAGTTTTTAAAAAAATATTTTTTGTTTATTTTTTTGTGGTGCTAAGGATCCAACCCAGTGCCTCACACATGCTAGGCAAATGCTCTGTCACTGAGCCCCAGCCCCAGCTCGATAGAAGAGTTATACTGAAATATAACCATGCTTGTTCCTTTACTTGTTGTCTGTGGCTGCTTCCTGCAGAGTTGAGCTTTTCCAACAGAGACTGCATAGGCTATAAAGTTGAAAAGATTTACTGTGTAGTCCTTTTTAGCAGTTTGTCCTCTGTTGGACTAAAGTATTAAAAGGCTCCCTCTGGCTGCTGTGTAGAGAATAGATTGTGGAGGCAGGGGAACCCATGAGGAAGCAATTGGAATGATCTAGGCATAAGATGACTGTGACTTGGCCCTGAGTAGATCTATGACAGTAGTAACTGATCAGATTCTGGATATATTTATAAGAAATCAGAACTGACAGAAATTGCTAATAGATGAGATGCGGGGTGAGAGAAGGAGAGATGTCAGTGATGGCTAAAAAATGTTTTTTTCCTGCACTTTTATTAATTCATCACATATTTATTGAGGGCTGGGTTGTGGCTTAGTGGTACAGCACTTGCCTAGCATGTTTGAGGCACTG